GTGTGTATGTACGTGTGTATGTATGTATGTATGTATGTATGTATGTATGCATGTATGTATGTTTTTAAGGAATCAGGTCGCATTTGCAACCATGCTAGCTGTTGTTTTCACAATCTCAGGTACAATTTTTGGTACGCAAAGGAGATTTATGACATTCCATCTGGTGCACTTTTTTTTTTTTGATCGCGCATGCGCACCTGTGCACCGCTTATGTGCAACTCTGCCCATTTTAGCTCTGAAACATGTTTTTATATCCAAGTGTTTCAGCCTTTTAACATATCAAAGTTTTTGCCAGCCTCTGCCTATGCAGAAACTTGAATCAGCTGTTTATTAACATTATTTTTATGTACGGTTGGGTATTGAAAGGGTTTAAATCGATACCGGTGCTAAATCGATACTTTCAAAACTGTACCGGTTCCTAAACGGTATTTAAATTAGTACTTTAAAAACAATTAAATAAAACACACTCACTCGTAGGTTAATGAAGCAATGACTATTTCTGAGCCAGCTATTTCTTGCTTGCTTGCTTACTTACTTATTTATTATCACAGCGCTGTTTATAGCTACGTGCTTGTGTAACACCGGGCGAACAATTTGTTCAAAACCTCTCGTGATCTGCTCAGCTTCGTCTCCTTCACCTCTCTCCAGGAAGTGTTTACAAGTTCTGCCTTTCTCAAGATCACCAAAAACACAGTTTAATCACTGCTTTCACCATGTCGTCGTATCACGCCGCACGCTCATATTCCTAAACAAAAGCAGTTCTCTCCAGYAGGAAATTTGCTGTCAARCAATCCAAGAGTTAAGCCACGGACAGAATTCTGCTAACATCAAAATCGTAAGCGTGCTATACTCGCTTCTACCCAAACCACCGGAAAGGAGGTTCTGAAACAGCGCGGCTGTGGAGCGTGCTTGGAGAGATGCATTTGGCCGAGACCGAGCCGAGTTGAACCGCGTAAAGAGCATCTGTGGGGATTGTGTGTCAAGGCTGTTACTGTTAACAWTGATCACCAGAGGGCTTTTGAGGCACCGAAATAAGGCACCAAAGTTAATGTTGTGTTTCGGTCTGTTTACCTCCGTTGATGTTTGTCCTGGTGCCCTACTGGAACCGAGTTTCTGTACCCAACRCTATTTGTATGAATARACCTAGTTGATCAGTACATCAAAGTTTCTTAAAACCTAAGACTATCTTTATCCAAGAAATGTGCAAAAACATGAACAGGATGCTTCAAAATGTTTAATGTAAGTATGAGTGTGTATGGAAACAGAGTTATTAACAGAAATGTCCCCTTTAGTTCCTTTCCTTTTTCTTACCAGGCGGGTTAGCTGCTTTTCCAGAGAAGTTCTATCTTGCTGAACAAACTGAAGCTCTTTCGATTTGCTCTCCAGGTTAACACTTAACTCACTGATCTGTTGAGACACATGGCACACAAGTGGAAAAATAAACACAGCTGAAAATCATCCATTATTTATGTAGCTTTAATAATCCGTACATATACACTCACCAACCACTTTATTAGGTAAACCTGTCCAACTGCTCAAGAACAGGAAACTGAGGCTACYATTCGCACAGGCTCACCAAAATTGGTCAATAGAAMATTGGAAAAATGTTGCCTGGTCTGATSAGCCACGATTTCTGCTGCAACATTCGGATGGTAGGGTCAGAATTTGGCATCAACAACATGAAAGCATGGATCCATCCTGCCTTGTATCAACGGTTCAGGCCGGTGGTGGTGGTGAAATGGTGCGAGGGATGTTTTTCTGGCACACTTCAGGCCCATCAGTGCCAATTGAGCATTTTGTCAATACTACAGCCAACCTGGGTATTGTTGCTGACCATGTCTATCCCTTTATGACCACAGTGTACCATCTTCTGCTGGCTACTTCCAGTAGGATAACGCACCATGTCATAAAGCGTGAATCACCTCAGACTGGTTTCTTCAACACAACAAGTACACTGTAATTGAATGGCCTCTACAGTCACCAGATCTCAATCCAATAGAGCACATTTGGGATGTGGTGGAACYAGAGATTTGCATCATGGATGTGTAGCTGACAAATCTGCAGCAACTGCGTGATGCTATCACATCAATATGGACCAGACTCTCTGAGGAATGTTTCCAGTACCTTGTTGAATCTCTGTCACAAAGGACTAAGGCAGTTCTGAAAGCAAAAGGGGGTCCAACCCGGTACTAGCAAGATGTACCTAATAAAGTGGCCGGTGAGTGTATATCAACATACTGTATAACCAGAGGGGAAAAAAACTGTAAATGCTGAGCAAGATTGACTTTTAACAAAATTTGTTGAAGAATGATTTGTATGATTGTTAAAGTTAAAACAAACAGAACAGAAGCAGTCATTTAAAAATAAAGCTACACATTTTGAAATTTACAACAACTGGCAAAATAAACTATAAATAGAAAAGAAATGAGGAATGTTTTGTGTTCTTCACAAACCTTTTTCTCCTGAGCCTGAATCTGATTCTTGAGGTTACTGGTCTGCTGCTGCGACAGGGATGCAGCATCGTCCTTCTGCTGGGATTCCTGGAGCCTAAGCTGAAGGTCTGACACCTCCCTCTCCAGCTCCATAATCCTGGAGCGCTCAGACACTGTGGCCACCTATAGCACCGGATGTAGAGTGGAGGTAAGGGCATGTAGAAGATGGTCTCACATATCTCGTGTTAATATTATCAAAATTAAAATTGTTTTACAATTTTTTTAATGCAATTCAACATTGCAGATGTACGTAGCTATATATATCTCCCATTTTTTTTAACTCAGCTTCAAAATTATTTTATGTGTCAGAGCCTGTATGATATGACAAAAATAAATACAAATAAATAACCAGCTCAATCAGATTTTTGAGGATGAAGATGCAGGTAAACGTCCGAAGGGTTTGACATGTAGGCTATGTGACAGAACTTTCCTCGTCTATTTTACTGCTTAGCTATGTTAACTTTTGTAAATACCACTGTCTATGAACCCCAACTAGGTCTGCTACTTCTTCAAATTAGCTTGACTTCAACAGGCTAGAAGCCACGGCAAAACCCCAAAACAACTTAGAAAAACAATTGCGTTCATTCTCTTCAATACACCGCTCCCTCACGTTCGTCATGGCATTCCCACGTGACTTGGTGACATCAGCGCAAAGGATCAATAGCCTATATGCCACGGTCATTATGACGCATTTCCGGTAAAATTCTGGCCACGCTCCTCCCTTCCATTTTCTGGTTACTGCCTATGTTTTTAGAGTAAGCTCCTAATACAAGTCCGTGAAAAAGTCACAAAAGTTAAAGCATCTGTGAGATACTGGTATAAAACATGAGTTCTTTTGTGTGCCGTTGTGTCCACTAACCAGCAGTACGATAGAGTATTTAGTTTTTATCCATTTTCCTCTTGATGAGGAGTAAAGGTGACAGCTGTGGATCAGCTCACGCTTGCGTTTGTAATCGGCATTTCTAACCTGAGGATATTCAAGAGTCAGCATCAGAAATGAGAAGATGGAGGTTATAAAAGGGAAATGTACAATTATCCCCCTTTACTGTCAAGATGAGAGAGGGAAAACCACCTCCAGAGGACAGCTAGCAGGAAGCTAACACACAGAAGCGGTACAGGTACAGCAGGTGTGTGTGTGCACGTACATTTGTGTTATACAAATAAATGTTTTTATGCGACTTTGTCATGAGATTTATGCAAAAGTAAAAACTTGTTAGAGTGTATATTACAGCATAGACAAAAGCCGAGCGACGAGCGCACCCCACTCCCCCCGAGCACCGAGAGCTGCAAAACCTCCGCCTGATAATCATTACGTTTTCAGTTCACCTACGTCAGGGAAAACGATCCAAACCATACAAGTAGCCCATCAATTTAAAGACCAGACTCTGCTCTTTCCAACAATATAAGTGTCACAGCTCTACGTGAAAATTTCACAGAACAAGCAGCCAAGGAATAGTGAAAAAGGCTAAATTCTGGAACCATAAACACGAACGTCTTTCCTTTGTTTTTATGGCTTTAATSCACTTTGAAGTGATTTTTTTTTCCACTTGGCTGGACCTGTACGTCTCCTGTGTTAATGTTGGTACATGTAATATGCTAATTCTGTACTGTGGCGATCATTAAGAGTCGTTGTAGTTGAAAAAATCTTTCGCTAACACTGTGTTGACCGTGAACCGGAAGTGGTCGGAGTGGCCCCAAGTGCTGGACCGGATGTCCGTGGCATATATAGGCTATTGGAGGCACATCAAACTCTGCCTCCAGATTGCGCAATCCTTTCAACCATGCTCCGTCTCCTCTTGAATTGTGCAACCCCTGCTGCAAGTTGTGTAGTGAGAGCAGAGTATGTCTCTACAGTTGCTGGTCATTAAATTAAAATATCATGAAAAAATTTATTTATTTCTGTAATTCCATTCAAAACTCCAAGTAAAACTTGTATTAATTCATTACACACAGACTAATATATTTCAAATGTTATGTCTTTTAATTTTGCTGATTATGATTGACAACTAACGAAAATCCCAAATTCAGTATCTCAGAAAATTAGAACACTGTGAAAAGGTTCAATTTTGAAGACGCCTGGTGTCACACTCTAATTCGCTATTTAACTCAAAACACCTGCAAAGGCCTTTAATTGTTCTCTCAGTCTAGTTCTGTAGGCTACACAATAATGAGGAAGACTGCTGAATTGACACTTGTCCAAAGACAAAAATTGACACCTTGCACAAGGAGGGCAAGACACAAAGGCCATTGGTAAAGAGGCTGGCTGTGTGTCAAAGCACATTAATAGAGAGGCAAAGGGAAGGGAAAGATATGGTAGAAAAAAGTGTACAATCAATAGGGATAACTGCACCCTGGCGAGGACTGTGAAACAAAATCTAAACGTGGGGGACATTCACAAAGTGTGGACTGCAGTTGGAGTCAGTGCTTCAAGAACCATCACACACAGATATATGAAAGACATGGGTTTTCAGCTGTCACATTCCTTGTGTCAAGCCACTCTTGAACCACAGACAGCGTCAGAATCATCTGGCCTGGGCTAAAGACAAAATGGAATTAACTGCTTCTGAGTGGTCCAAAGTCATGTTCTCTGATGAAAGTAAGTTTTGCATTTCTTTTGGGAACTATGGTCCCAGAGTCTGAAGGAAGACAGAAGAGGAACAGAATCCACACTGTTTGGTGATCTAGTGTAAAATTTTCACAGTCAGTGATGGTTTGGGGTGCTATGTCATCTGCTGGTGTTGGTCCATTGTGTTTTCTGAGGTCCAAGGTAAATAGAGCCATGTACCAGAAAGTTTTAGAGCACTTCATGCTTCCTGCTGCTGACCAACTTTATGGAGATGCAGATTTTTCTATTTCCATTTTCCAACAGAACTTGGCACCTGTACACAGTGCCAAAGCTACCAGTACCTGCTTTAAGGACCATGGTATCCTTGATCTTAATTGGCCTCAACCCCATAGAAAATCTATGGGGTATTGTGAAGAGGAAGATGCCATACGTCAGACGCAACAATTCAGAAGAATTGAAGACCAGTATTAGAGCAGCCTGGGCTCTCATAACACCTGAGAAGTGCCACAGACTTTTTTGTATTACTCTTAAGTAACATTCTAATTTTCTGAGACAATGAATTTGGGATTTTCATTAGTTGTCAGTTATAATCATTAAAATCAAAAGAAATAATATTTGAAATATATCAGCCTGTGTGTAATGAATAAATTCAAGTTTCACTATTTGAATGGGATTATTGAAAAACGTCAACTTTTTCATGATATTCTAATTTTATGACCAGCACCTGTATATGTCGCCAGTAAAATGTTTCTTAAATGTTTTGATATGCCTAACACTCCACAGTTTATTTTATAAATAAACATTTGTGTAACGTGTTCTGTGAGCTGAAACAGCTGAGAAAAGACATGAGTGGAGGCTGGAAGTTCTCAGGTTCATAGGCACTAGTAAGCTCAGAGATTACTCTGAGCTGCAGAAGAAGTAACAAAAAGTTACAGTTAGCATGCTAAGTGCAGCATTTTTGGTACCTGCTTTGTAAACGTTCATTTTAATAAAGTAAAATGTAAAAGTGTAAAAGTACACCAGAGATCTATTAATTGTTTTCACTTTTGCCAAACCAGACTTTTAGAATGGAGAATTCTATAAGCCACTTTCATAAGACAGATCAGCGAAATCACCGCACAGACCGGTCTGGCTTTAAGCTCCCCCGGGTCATTCATAAAATCACAGGAGAAGCTGACCAGGTCCCACTTACATGTACACATTCAGAAATGAATCCAATAGCTCGAAACAAAAAGAGGCTTGGAGCAGATCTCATCTCGGCTGAATTGAACCGCAACGCATTTATTGTGTGACAGATGTCTACCTTGTATCAAACAAAACAAACTGCATTAACTTACTTTAGCAATCCTGTGGTTCAATATGTTTTAAACTAACTATAAAGTTGCTGTTCTGTGTCATATTTAATATTCCATTGGTAATAAATCTGTTGATTATTCCTGTGGTCGCTGTCTGTCTTCAGTTCATTATCATTTTTTGAGCCGTGGAACCGCGGGTTGCTTTTTCGCAAGTCGGTCTGCCCGGCTCTGATACTACCTCGCTTGGGGGCTCAGAGGTGTGTCAGAGGCAGCGCCCCCCACCCGTGTTTTTTTCTGAATGAACCAAGAAGGACAGAACACGTGTCAGTCCTGGACAGAGCTGTCTTGTGAATGAGGCTTTATTTTAAAGCTCAATCTTCTAAAGTGGAGTTTCAATGGAAGCAGCATAAGACCCACACCACAGCTGAGACAAAAGCCAAACAATAGGTCATTAGTGTTTTTTTGCCAGAGAACTGGATCTTTGGGGTGGGTTTAGGGTCGTCATTTTCAGCTGGTTGTTGGCTGGAATCCTCTTTGGGTTTCTTGTATGCTTTCAGAAAAGCCCAGTTAGGATAACCGCACTGCTCCAGGGCCTGTTTTGTGTGTGACTTCTCTTTCTCCCTGGCTCCTCCTGACTTTGTGAGGACACTGTCTGCTTTGTGGTACAGAGCCCTGATGACTCCTAACTTGTGTTCCAGTGGGTGATTCCCATCACCCACTGGAACACAAGTTAAATCCCCAAAACTCCAAAACACATTACAACAATGATTGGTTCACCCCAAAGATCCAGTTCCCCGGCAAAAACAGAGTAATATTGTATACGCTGCTAAGTGCCAGGAAGACTGTGATCAGTTATACATCAGGGAAACAAAACAGCCACTGTTCAAAAGAATGAGCCAGCACAGATCAACATCTATAGGCCAGGACTCTGCAGTTTACACTCATGTACAGGCCAGCGGTCACTCTTTCAGGGATGAAGATGTTCTCATCCTTGATAGAGAGGAACGTTGGTTTGAGAGAGAAGTAAAGGAAGCCATTTTTGTGAAGAAAAACCGTCCACCATTAAACAGAGGTGGAGGCCTTCGTGTCAAGTTGTCCTCCTCCTACAATGCTGTTAGTGCAAGTACGACTCAGCCCCCGTGAGCAAAAGGTGTGAATCAAGGTCCCAAAGACAGTCAGTTGATAGGGCACGACCCTCTATGAACAACAGAGCTAATCAAGGCACTAACAACCTATTGTTTGGCTGATGGTCCTGTTTTGCATGTGACTAACCTGTTTGTCCTGTTCGAAGCAGTGCTTATAAGACTGAGTTCACCTGAAACTCCTCAGACTGAAGAAGTCTCTCGGAGAAGAGACAAAACATTTCATTGAAGAAGAACCCGTCCAGGGTAAATATTTTTCTTTTTGATGTTATAATAAAACCATTCTTCAACAATTTAAACTGTTAGCCGGAAAACAAACTATCCTTCTGAAAATGGCTTCAGCTGTCATGAAATACAATGAGCAGTTGTTCTTCAATGCTAGGGTATTCCCATACATATTGCCTATTGTCATGAATAAAGCCAGTGGAGAAAACAGCATGACTCAATTCTGATGGTGGACGTAAGTGCCAGCATTACCCTAGAGTCCTCTAAATCCCTCTGGAGTTTTTCAGCTTTGGTCTTTTCAAAGAGCAGGTTCTGCTCAAGCTCCTTTATGTGGGCATGCTCCAGCCTGGTCTGCGTCTGTTAGTAAGAAAAAGCATGAAGAGGAGAGAAAACACCAATGCAACATACCAGCCTTAAGCAACAGACAGAAAAAAAGGCTTTGAAAAGAAGAGCAGCAAGTGATGGACTGATTGGATTTTTTTTCAACATTTTGTCGTTTGAAATAATCTGAGTTAATCATTGTTTTAATATCCTATTTCTCAGATATGTTCATTTGATTTTCTCTTCAGCACTTGAAATAAACTACCTTAGTAACTAATTCTTCACAAGAGAGAAGAAGATGCATGTAACAAGCATAATAAACGAAGATGAAAGCAAGTAAGAAGAAAGACAACAATTACAAAAAAGGATATGAAAATGGTAATGTCATTAAAGGCAGATGGAGAATGAATGGTTTAATAAAACGGAGTAGGAAAAATGARGAGTTAGACATTGAAAAAGTTAAAATGTACAGCGGAAGGAAAACCTTTGAAGGAAAGATTGCTTTAAATTAGTTATTTTATTAAAACAACTTCAGTGTTCTTTCCTGGTTTTTGCTATAAAAAGAAAATGGAGCAAAAGTAGTGAAAAAGAACACTCGGAATTTGAAAAGAAAGGTTATGTTTTGAGTTTAAAGTGTAAATATTAGGAGGGATAAAGAGTCAATTTCATTGACAAAAATTATTAAGAAAAAAGGTTGTCCTTCAAGCTAATCTGGAGGAAATGCATCCTGCTGTGCTCCTAAACCCAACTGGATTTGTTTCATCTTCTTCATCGTCATCWTCATTATTGTATCTGATAGTTATTGGTACACTTTTACTCGGTTAACTACATAAAAATTATTTTGAATTTCTTCATATCTCCATCCCTTCTCTCCCTCAGATCTGCCTCCACCTCTCTGTACCTTATGCCTATCCCACCACCATTTGGACCCATGCATTCAGAAACTCTGCCCCCTGACTCTGGAACTCAATACCCGCTGAAATAAGAAATATCACCTCTCTCTCACTATCCAGTAATGATGTGCAGATAGATACTGAAATATCGATACTACTGATACTAGAACTTTATGTTCTGGAATTGATACTAAAATCAAAACATCGATAATTTGATACTTTAGTTACTTCACATAATGTACATCATTAACAGGAACATAGTGGAAAATAACTACCGGTAAACTATTCCAATCTTGTCTTAATCATATGTTGTTGAGGGAACTACTTTTTCTTCCGCTTGAGCAATGCATAAGCACAGTGGCACGTCAGTCACTCAGTCTGTAGATGTATGTATGTATGGCAGGTCATTTTAACATAAAATCTGCTTTGTCTGACTGTCTGTAATTAAATTCTAGATGAGGGGTTCCCAAACTTTTTTATGCCATGGCCCCCCCAAACAGCATTAGCTTTGGCCAAGGACCTTCTTGCAAACCCACAAACAATGCTACAAAATATACAAAGTTTTTAGAATATTTTTCCCACTTTTATTCACTATTCAAAAA